AACTCTCTGAGGACTCGGACCCCAAGTGAGCCCTGCCTGAATGTCTATGCCTCTGGAATCATTTTCTGGACACCCTGGGGCCTACAGACCTGTCCATTCATTCTCCTCTCAAATGTAGTAGGTCTCCAGATGACCCTTCTTTTAACAAGTCCCATAGACTGCAGCTTCCTAAAGCTCTTGGCTGGGTCTGTTTTGTCTTCTGGTCCCCAGAAGCATGCTCCATCAGTCCTCCAAGTTCCCCATTTCCAAGCCAAATTTGCCATCACTCCTCACATCCTGCATCCTCCCTATTTTAGCACTGCCTCCGTACCTTCTAGCTGTCAGGCCTGCTTCTACCACAAGCTTCTAGCTGAGGAGTCACTCCACATCCCCCAACCCCATGACCTTTGCTCCCTCTGGCTTCAGAGACTGGCTTCTCCAGACAGCTCTCCTAGCTGCTAAGGCTGGGAACCTAGGTCTGTACAGCAGTGGGTGTCACTCTAGAGCACATTGCCCATCCATCTTGACAGTCAGGACCTGAGGGAAGAGATCATCTAGGACCCCTCCGCTTCTAGACCCCCTCACCTGGGAGTGAAGCACTGAGCAAATGAGTGGAATGTGCATGCCACTGGTACCCACACACTAATGGGGGTGCCTGCTAGCTCAGGACATCAGTGTTGAGGTGTCCAAGTCCACAATTTAGTTGCATAACTTTTGGAAAATAGGAGATTAACTGTAGCAGCTCCAATTTTAAGTTCAAGAAAACATGAATTCTGTCAGGCATAGTGGTACATGCCTGGAATCCCAGCACGGGAGGCAAAGACAGAAGGACTGAGAATTTGAGGCCAGCATGAGCTACAAATTGGGACTCTGTCTCAAAAAAAAGAAGGACTGAGAATTTGAGGCCAGCATGAGCTACAAATTGGGACTCTGTCTCAAAAAAAAGGAGAGAGAGAGAGAGAGAGAGAGAGAGAGAGAGAGAAAGAGAAACAGAATACAATGGATTGAACCGAATCCCCTCAAAATTCCAGCGATGAAACCCCAACTCCCATTGTGACTACATAGGAGAGGGGGGTCCTTGGAAGTAAGGAATTAGGGTTAAATGAGGTTGTAAGGGTGAGGTCCTGATCTGATGTGATTAATGTCTTTAACAGAAGAGGAAGAGACACCAGGGCTAGCTCTCTCTGCCATCTAGGGACACAGGGAAGCCAGTTGTCTATAGGCCAGGAAGACACTGAATCACTGGACTTCCCAGGCCCCCAAACCATGGGGAAATAAAGGTCTGTTGTTCAGGCACCTCGTCCTGGACTGACTGTTGTGGCATCATTCAGTCTCTCTTGTGATCCGTGGACGTCATAACTATGTTCTGTGGCAAGTCTGATCGGAGAGCACTGGGGTGGCCCAGTCACAATGACAGTGATAGGATCCCTTTGCCTCTGCCAGCTGCTGGCAACAAACTAGAGCCTGCAAAGGGCTTCCCTGCACCAGCTAATCCTCTCCTTACCTGCTGCTGATGGCTGCTTTGTGACTTTGTCTTATAGATAAAGAGACAGAGGCCCAGGGAGGTGAAGTGAGTTATACAAGGTCACTTGTACAACTTGTGATGGCCAAACTGGGCACCCAACCCAGGCTCATCCTACAGCTCTGGGCACAAGCACCTCATGATCCTGCTTTGAGGAAGAAATAAACACCAGTCTCCTGTGGTCAAGTGGAGATGCCACTGAAGTGTAGAATGGGCCTCATCTACCCAGTCAGGAGCCCCAGGCACTGCAGTGCTAGTGTGGGAACGGCATACTAGCTGAGGCACAGGGTAGACCAAATAGCTTCACTCTGGCCCCTTCCTTGTCTTCTAGAATCTCACCTTCCAGGAACCCTCACTTAGCTCCTCTAATTCTTCCTAATCAGTTTAGAATACACTGAAGACCCTGACACTCTCTTAGTATAGGGCTTCTATCCCAATAATTCCTTATCCTCCCCCACCCGCAGGTCTGTCATCCCCCAGTGATAGCCATCACCACCAAACTTACCCCCTGCTTTCAAAAGTCTGTGTCCCCCTGCAGTCCACTGCCTCCAGCTAGAGTCATCCCTTAAAAATGAAGCAGACTGCACCCCACCCCTGTTCATTACTTCACCACATCCTATTCAATGTGTAACAGAATCCTAGGTCCTGACTCTGACTCTCACTCCCTCTGTTCCACATATTTTCATTAGTTCCTTAAGCAAGCTCAGCTGGTTCTTCCCTAGGGTCTTTGTGCCTGCAGATCCTTCTTCCTAGAACACGTTTCCACCCAGATCTTCCCAGGACTGACTCTTATTTTTGTTCAGGCTCAATTCAGAGAAGCCCTCCCTAAGCACATGAAGTCACTGTTTCAACTCAGCATGGGGCCCTCGGTCAATCTGACATTATTTTATGTTTATTTATTTAAAACTTACTTGTTGTCCTTCTCCTAGCCCTGGAAAACAATCTCGATGAAAGCAAGGATGTTGTCCATCACCTAGAATCGGCCTGCACATTGTGGACTCTCTTACTATTTAAAGAATGTATACATATGAATGAATAACACAGTCTTCTCAAGGACAGAGGAAGAAAACCCTCCTGAACCCCCCAATGACCTCATCTGACATCCCCCCACCAACCTTTGCCCTGGAACAAGTTCCCACAGAAGGTGACAGTGCTCCTCTGTCTCCTGCCAAGTGGACACAGGTCCCAGCCTACTGGCAGAGGAAGAACCACTTCAAATGGAAATGGCCTCCGACCAGGCCAGCTCCAGGGCACTGGGCAGTGGGGGAGGTGAGTCTGGAAGAATATCTCCCCCACATCCCTCATCCAGCTGAGGCCCTCCCCTGGGACAGTCCCTGTTGCCTAGGCAATGGCTCTCTGAGGAGCAGCTGGCGTTAACTCTTTGGTAACCAAGGACAGTAGCTTGCTCTGTGGCAGAGATCAGGACAGTCCCATGGTCCCACAAACCTGGAATCTTTAGAGCAGTTAATGAGGGGTAGAGAGACAGGGGAGCAAACAGGCTGCTGGGGTCCACAGAAACAGAAAGTAGAAGTCACAAAACATAATCCATCTGCCCCAGTTCTGTGAGCAAGGCATTCCCGGGTCCCCACGCCTATCATCTAGTGTTCCTAGTCTGACACCAACAGAGGAAGCAGCCTGCCCTAACACCTAGATCCCCATCACACCTCTACTATGCTTGGAGCAATCAATCTGTATTCCTTAGACAGTTCAGGACATACAATAGATCAGGAAAAAAAAATGACCACGCCCCCAAATCCTTGATTTCGCACTTATTCATTGGGGATATTACCCTCTCACATCTAAGCTTCTTTTTTTTTAATTAAAAAGTTTCTTTCTTTCTTTATTTTTTTTTCTGGGTATGCGTGTATTGCCTGCATGTAGGTAAGTGCACCTGTGTTGTGCAATGCCCCCGGAGGACAGAAGAGGCTGTCGGATCCCTTGGGACCGGAGTTATAGACAGTTGTTAGCTGCCATGTGGGTGCTGGGATTTGAGCCTGGGTCTTTTGCAAGAACAGCCAGTGATCTTAACCGCTGAGCCATCTCTCCAGCCCCACATCTAAGATTCTAAATGCCACTGAAAATGCCCTTGTCAAGGTTTCAAAAGTCTTAATGTTTCAAGTCCACATTTACATCTCTGGATTTTCCCACATTTATAATCCTCTCAATGCTTATGACCCACCCCACTCCTAGGGTTTTATCTTTGGTTATTTCTCTCCAGTATTTATTAATCCCTGGAATCATCTTATTTATGATCATTATTTGTCACCTCAAGAGAGAAGATTCTTTTCCCTCTGTCTTGTTCACTGTAACAACTTCAAGCTTGAAACAATGACTGACATGTGGAAATTACTTGAGGATGGTTTCCAGCAAAACTAAGGTGGAAACAAAACAAACTAAACAAAAGGTGCAGGGCAAGTAGTGTCTCTAACCTAGGAAGGCAGCAAAGGGAAATCTCACAGTAATTACTGTGGAACACACAGTCTTGGCTGGAATAGGAATAAGAATCTACAACAGTTTCTGCCAGGAAGAAAAAAATAATACAGGTTCCAAGGATAGAGTAAATTGAGACGGTAAATAACCTGAGGACTGGAAGGTACATTGTTCTCTGTGAAATTCTTTTTAAAGACAATTCGAAATTCTAGGAAAAACTAAAAGTTATCTTTTAAAAAATTCTTGGGTTCAATATGAAATGATTTAATGTGTGGCACAATTTAGCACAAGGAGAAAATCTATTTAATCTTGCTACAAAGATCATTCTCCTTTGAGTGGCCAGGAATCAAGAGAACAGACTGACAGAACAGGAAGTACAATTCCAGCATCCTGCTTGGTTCTGAGGAAAACAGTCCTGACCTAACATTTCCTGAGTGCCTATGTGCCAGGCAAGGATGTAAGAGCTTTGTATTTTAATTTTGTTTATTTATTTTTATGTGCATGAATGTTTTGCCTGCATGTATGTAAGTGTACCATGTGCGTGTAATGCCCATGGAGGCCAGAAGAGGGTATTGGATTTCCTGAAACTGGAGTTATGAATGGTTGTTATCCATCAAGTGGGTGCTGAGAACTGAACCCAGGTCCTCTCCAAGAGCAGCCAGTGCTCTTAACCACTGAGCCATCATTCCAACTCCAAGAGTTTTATGTTGAATATATCTAATCCCCACAGCTCTCTAAGGTTTATGTGATACTTGCCCCTATTTTTCAGATGTAGAAGATGAGACATGCTGTATTAGACCACTTTTCTGAGGTCACATGTTTGGTGTAAGAGTTGGATTCATACCCAGACTCTAACTCACAGGTCTGCTTCTCAGAGCTAGCCCTAGAAGCCATGCCATCCAGTCTTCAGGCCCTGATAATTCTTGCCAAGAAGTAAAGGATACTATATGGATAAATGTACACATGCACACATAGGTATAACACACTCTCCTGGAAGTTGTGATGCAAAGCCACAAAGCCACAGAGCTGCCCCAGACTGGGCAGCCAGAAAGGCAGAGTAGGACTTTACCTTCCTGCAGTCTTTGCAGAATACGGACGAGCTGCCCAGGAAACCCAGCACCTCCCCGCAGAGCAGACACTGGGAGAGGCCGTTGCCCATCACATTCTGCCTCATCGTCTCTAGCCGCTCCACCAGCCGCCTGCAGCATAGAACACGGAGTCAGAGGGAACATGATTCCTGTCCTCAACCTGGAGACTGCACAACAGCTACAGAACCCAATCCAATGCCATGTCACATGTGTTTCTTCGCCACTTTACCCTTGCCCCTGGCTAACTCCTAGTCATTTGTTCACTTGCCATTAACTGAGCACTTAGGATGTGCTAGACACTGGGAATATTGTAGCAAACAGGCCAGACACAAGGGAGGACATCCACAAACAAGACGACAAACCAACAGAGGGGGAGCTGGGACAGAAAGATGAGGGACCAGAGAAGACACTCTGAAAACATAAAAACTGAGCCACAGGATTCAGTTAGGGCTGAGAAATGGTCACCAGTAAAACCACCACAGAGGCTGCTGCTCCATGAGCCACAGGGAGCCAGGGATACAGCAAGACTGGAGGAGCCAGCAAGGGCAGATCCTGGGGGTTTGCAGGTCACAGACTTGAGTGTGGTTTCAATCTGAAGTCACTGAAGAGTTTGAAAGCGGGGAGTGATTTGATCCAAGTGACATTTTCCTAAGCCTCTGTGGAAGCTGGAATAATGAGGACAGTAAAAGGGAGGATGCCAGGAGGAGGCTGTGGCCTCTGGGGAGAAGGATAGAGGCCCTGGGCTGCACCTCAGAGGCAGCACTGACAGCCTGGAGTAGAAGGGAGAGGGTGAAGGGTGACAGCAGGCTTTGGGTCTGAGTGTCCAGGAACCCAGCTTAACCTGCACAGGCACCCCTCTGGGGTCCTCTAGCCCTTCCCACTGTAAGTTGTACCCACCCCCATGTGACTATAGCCTCTATTTTGGTTTGTCAGCCCCCCTATTTCTGGTACCCAGTGGATACTCAGTGTGGGCAAATGGGTATTATCTCCTCTGATTGTCACCAGCCCCCTCAGTAGGTAGAGGCTACATTTCCCATTTTAGAGATGAGAAGACTGAGGCTAAGGACTAAAAAGTGACTTGCTGGGGTCACAAAGCTCCCAAGAGGTGAGCCAGGGTCCACTTCCAAACCTGACTGATATTAGCTCCGTTATCACTGACTCATACTTCCTTGAGGTGACAAGGTGCTGCTAAGGGGTCTGAGGGATCGCTAACTCAGCATTGTGGCCTTCTCACTTGCATGCCCTGTACTGAGCACTATGTGAACACTGTTCCTCATCTAGCTCTAGCATGATCCTCTTGTTCTCAAGGACCCTCTGTCAGTCCGCCTTGTATTTCCATGCCTCATATAAACACAGAAGACATGCTTCCTCCCTGTGAACAATTAAACTACAGTACATTCAGTACAGTACAGTACAGTACAGTATAGCACATTACAGTACATTACAGTCATTCCACACCCTGCAGCCCAGTGTTTATCGGTGAAATTAGACAATAGGAGGAACTTCCTAAGGCAGCTCAGGGAAGGCAAAAGCTGGAGGTGACTAGTAACACTCCCACAGCACAGGGGAGCCTGAATGAGGTTCCTGAAACCCACTCCCTGCTCACCCTCCTGGGGGAGCCTAGACCCCTGGGATCAATCACCAGCACTCAAGGTCAGCTAGGAGCCTGGCAGGGCCCTGGAGGAGGAGTTAAGTAAGAAGCAGGGTCCAAGCCAGGTTAGAAGAAAAAAAAAAGAAAAACTCAGACATTCTGATGTAAGCCATTTGTACTGACAATAATGACCCATCGTGTGATTGAGGCTCATGCAGGAGACCGTTGGCATAGCTATCATCTTTACAGTAGGACCACTGCCTTCTAAACCTGTGCATTTCTACTGTGTCTGATTTAAAAACAAACAAACAAACAAACAAACAAACAACAACAACAACAACAAAAAAAACCCGACCATATAAGTAACAGAAAAAAATGAACAGAAAAATAATAAGGACAGACTGAAATGAGTTCCTGCCCAAACTGGCATGACTGCTTTCCTACCCGAGTTCTGATGTTTCAAATTATCTAGGAAACATGAATTGCTTTTGTAATTAAACAACAATGAAAAGACACACCAAAATGTTGGATGACTGAGTCATGGCCTGTTCTGGACCTCAGAGGCCAGGAAAGAGGCTGAGAACAGGCTGGAGGACACTGCCCACTGGGGTCTTGGGTGAGATGATTCAGTGATGAGCCTCCTCCTGATTCTGTCCCTTGGCTGAGCTGTGGCTGGGTGGAGGGTGTGCAGAAACGAAAGCAGCAACACACTTGTCAGGCTCATTCTTACAGTCACGTCTGGGGCCCATGGGTCAGTGTGACCCCCCAGCTCATACAGGGGGGTTGGGCACCTTCCTACATTCCAAGGACCAGCAAAAAACTCTGGGGCCTTTGGACTCATGCTCACTGGCACCCCGCAGCACCAGACCCCAGTGTGCCAGCCTCCCTGTGCGCTGCCTCACTGCTCAGCACCCTTGCTTTCCTGCTGGAGCAGTGGCTGTGCTCACCCGATTCTCTGCTGCTCCAGGACATCCAGCCGCTCTGCCCTTTGGATGACCTGCAGGATGACCTCTAGCTCCGCAGGGCTTAGGCACTGGCTCCTCCTCTGCTTCTCTGTCTGGTACGTGTGCACAGACCAACCTGTCTGCAGCCTTGGGAGAGAACCATACCCCTGGAGGTGAGGTTGCGCAGTGTAAACTCCAGTACCCCACAGCATCCACAAAGCCCACCGCCTCCACCTGCCTGAGAATGGTGGGGAAGCCTAGGTGCTGTGGTCCAGAATCCATAATGAGGGTTCCAATAAGGTGCTGTGGGTGTGTACCCATCGCTGGGTGTCAGTGGTGCTACATGCAATGTGGAACACACTGTCACCCTGTCCAGGAGGGGAGTCTCTGGAGGTCCAGGGCCTGCCCTGACTGGCCCTAGCTCCCTCTTGGCCTTTTACCCTGTGCACCCCTCATACTCCGCTGTCAAGCTACAAAAGCATGCCATGTTCCTTCTGTGTCGGGGGCTTTGCATGGACTGTTCCTTCTGCATGGAACATCCCACATACTTCCACGGAGCATTTATTTCTCTGGGTCTCAATCATACTTGCAGAGCAGTCTCTCTTGGTCCCCAGACCCAGTTAATGCTCCACCCCTGCTCTACTGCCAATCATCACCATTAGAAGAACTGCACACCTCTAAGTACCCATACAGGGCTCTCTTCTCCCTGTCTCTGCTTTAACATAGAGGATCACAGTAGGGGTTTAGGAATGTTCAGTGCCTGGTAGAAAGACAGTGGGTCTGGAATCTCCTCAGGTTTCCCAGGGGGCCCACTGAGCACAGCTCCTAGCTCCTCGGTGGGGTGTTTGCATCACTCCCTCTCTGAAACTGCCAGGCCTACGGGCAGCACACCAGGGAGGAGACACCCACGCCTGCTCATTTGAAAGGTAACTGTGACAGCTCTTGGCAGCTGCTGGGTGAGAGCTGAAGTTGGGAAAATGAAAGAGACACTGGAGGGGTCAAGGGGACAGCTGGGCTCTTGTACACAGTTCGAGAGATGAGCTCTCAGCAACATGTGCCCTGCCAGGAAGGGTGCTTCATCGTCTGGGTCAGAGGAGATGGGGAGAGGAACAGGGGTGCGGTGCAGGGAACTGAGGCATCCAGATGAGGGGATGTGTCAGCTGTGGGGCAAAGATGCCTGCAAATCACACGTGACACCCCTCTTCCTGGGCGTTTCAGATTAATTTTTCTATCTGCCTTTGATGTCTCAGCTCTGTCCCCCTCAGGCTCATAACGTCTAATTGCAAATTTCTTAAACTTGGTCCCAGCTGGGAAATGCTGGCTCCAGTTACTGACACATTTTGACAGCTGTAGGGATGCTCCTGACCTATCAATTACCAGGGACAGCACCCATTAGAAAGCTGGGAAGGAACTGGAAGGCAGGAGAGGCATCTGAGAGCCCCTACCATCCAGACAGGTGCACAGCAGGGGGAGATGGTCTACCTAACCAGAACTGAAGGTTGCCAAGAACCAGAAAATTGGACCCTCCCCCCTCTACGCCAATGGACATGAGGGAACCATGGAAGGGTAGAGGCCCTGCTGAGAGCAATGGAGAGATATGTTGTGGGCTGGCTGTGGTCTCTGATGAGGGGAGCTATTCACTCATAGAACAACCCTGTGTCCTGTACTGTCCCACTGTGCTTTGCTCTGAGCTCTGAAGGGGACATCCAGAGTCCACAAGCTTCCTGCTGCAAGGGCCTGTGGAACCTAGGGCTCAGTGACAGGAGACAGGACCAACAAGGAGGCCTTGCACCCTGTGGCTAGTGATAGAACACAGGCGTGGGAGTTGGCTGGACCCAGATGTGGGTCCCAAACTGGCCATTCACAAGTGACACAAGCAAGAAGTTCAGGTCTCAATTTCCTCATCTGAGAAGTGGTGATGAGTTAGTTCCACATGGTAGGTAAGTGTCCATGGGTCCAGAGTGGCATGCATTTGACAGATACTTCTCTCCAAATTTCTACTCCCTGGGCATGAACCTTGGCAGAGAGAGGAAGGAAGGCAGCAGGCAGAGAGCGAAGGAAGGGCTGCCCGGATGGAGGTACTCACTTGGCTCGCAGGGCAAGTTGCCGATCATTGGGGCAAACCCACTGATCATTCCCGCTGCTGAAGATGGTGTCAGCCATGGCTGGGAGCATAGCCCAGGGTAGAGGTCACATCTAAGAGGGAAAAGAGAGGGTGCATCACTGGCTGGGGCGCTGATGGGGTCCCTGCTGACCACTGGTGCTGGACTCTCACGCCTCCAGTGAAGGCCTCCTTCAAAGATGCTTTCCAAAGGCTCAGAATCCTGGGAGGGGTGACTAGATGGTCACTTGGTTAAGTGACCAGAGTAGACATGACAGGCAGTTCACCAAAGGATGAGAATCAGAAGGGAAAGGAGAGGCACACCTTCAGCAACTTTTAACTCAGCTGTCGAGCCCTATAGTGCATCAAACTCCTGCCACTTCCCACCCCTAGCTGAGGGCCCAGCCTGTGGGAAGACACCAAGATACCTGAGGCAAACCCATGATGCTCCCCTACTGGGGTGGGACAGAACAGCAGCTCCATGGCCCTAAGTGGTTCCTACCAAAGCCATGGGGCCCTTCAGAGGGCAAGGAGTAGGGTGGCAGCCAGGACAAGAGTCACTGTCCACAAGGACTGTCCCTAACAATCCTGTAGGGAAAGACCCTGCTCCAGAGCATGAATACTCTACCTTAGCTGGCTTTCTCTGTGTCACTAGAGAGAACCAATAAGAGAGGACCAATTCTGTCTATTATGAAGACACTGTTTGTTGTTTGTGCCTTCTGAAGGAATATGTTCCCTATGCACATGTGTGTGTATGGGGGGGGATGAGCTTGGGCTAGTGTGTACAAGGAAGAGGGATTGTGAGATCCACACTCCCCTGGGCTCATCCAACCCAGACCAGTGGTTTGCAAACTCAGGACTCCTTTATATACTTAAAAAAATATATTGCCTGGGGTGGTGGTGCATGCTTTTAATCCCAGCTCTTGGGAGACAGAGGCAGGCAGCTCTCTGTGAGTTCAAGGCTAACCTGGTCTACATAGTGAGTTCCAGGACAGCTGGGGTTACAGGGAGACCCTGTCTCAAAAAGACCAAAAAAAATTGAGATTAGAAATTTGTTTGATATTGTCTCAAAATGTTAACCACAGACTTACCACATGAACAAGAATTTCAACTGCCCCAGGTATATACCTAAGAATATTGAAAACTCATGTCCACGAAAACATGTACACAAATGTTCCCAGACACATTATTCATAATAGACCCCAAAGTAGGAACAACTAAAACATTCATCAACTGATAAAGGTTGATGTGTGCTCTGTCCATGCATAGGGATATTATTTGGCTATGGAAAAGAGGAATGAATTTCTTATACCTGCTATAGTATGGTTGAACCTTGAAAACATTACACTATGTGAAAAAGCTAGGCTTGTCCAAAGATCATATGCTGTATGGTCCTATTCATAGGAAGTGCTCTGAAGAGGCAAATTTATAGAGACAGAAAGTAGATTCATGGTTATCAGGGTTGGCACAAGAGGAGAGTGATTGCTAACAGCTCCAGGGTCTCTTCAAGGACAGAGGAAAACGTTCTGGAATCAGATAGTGGTAATGGTTACAATATGTGAATTATAACGCCTTAGATATTCTTTTTTTAAAAAAACAGCTTTGGGGATTAGTGAAATGGCTCAATGAGTAAAGCACTTGCTGTGTAAGCCTGAGGACCTGAGTTCAATCCCCAGAACTCATGTAAAGGTGGAAAGAGAGAACTGACTCTACAAAGTTGTCCTCTGACCTCCTAAGTGTATGTAGTATACACATGTTCCCCTCTCCAACACACACATCATATATACACACACAATAATTTTTAAAGAATTTTTGAGGGGCTGGAGAGATGGCTCAGTGGTTAAGAGCACTGACTGCTCTTGCAGAAGACTGGGGTTCAAATCCCAGCACACACATGGCAGCTAACAACTGTCCGTAACTCCAGCTCTAGGTGATCCAATGCCCTCTTCTGACCTCCGCAGCATTGCACGACACAGAGGTACTCACCTACATACAGGCAATACACTCATACACATAAAATAAAAATAATAAAATATTTTTTAAAAATTAAATTTTTTTGAACATTCCAAAATATATGAGCTACATCTACTGATATTTTATTATCTTAGGATTTCAAACTGAGAAATCTAAAAACTTCCACTAGAGATAGTAAACCTATTAGGTATTCACATAATTTATGTATTTTTGTTTGTTTGTTTGGTTGGTTTTTTTGAGATAGGGTCTCCCTGTAGCCCAAGCTGGTCTGAATTTGCTATGTAGACCAGGCTGGTCTCGATCTCAGAGATCCACCTGCCTCTGCCTCCTCAGTGCTGGGATTATAGGTGTATGCCACTAGGCTGGGCCATAATTTATGTACTTTATGAAGACAAAAATCCCTGAGTTTTCAACTCAAAGGTAAATAATGAGAGAGGAATGGTATTGTTCTACATTTTTACAACTTGATTTGATTTTTGGCTTAACCAAAGATGGCTGGGTGTTCCTATCTGACTTTTCCTTCAACCTTTGTTTTCTGTTTAAGTTCGTGGAAGACATCCAAGCTCTCACGGATATGTAGGACAGTTGGAAGGCAGATGAGTAGTCTAACAGCTTTTCTAGGGAATAGTAGATATTTTTCCTTGACACTACACTAAATTCAAAAGATGGTATTTTTAAAGACTAAGGACTCTCCATTTTCTGCATATTTGTGAAAGAGGCCAAGAATTTTATTATAAGGAAAATAGTTTTGACCTCATGGACCCCTAAAAGGTGTTGGGGACCCTTAGAGATTCTTGAACCACGCTAGACTGCCCTTCCAGACCACTGTGGCCCATGTCCATGATGACCACCAGGAGGCAGCATGTGGACTACAGCTGACAGGCAGACCTCAGTTTCCATCCCAGAGGCCCATCCGGACACCTGACCTTCCAGTTGGACCTGACATCCAGCCTTGGGCCACTTTAGAAAAGAACCCCCCAGTGAACCATGCATAGAGGCTCCCCAGGCAGTCCAGTCACCTCTAGACTGCTCCCAAATGGGCTAAGGTACAGTCCAGGAAGACAGGTGGGCCAAAAAATGACATATTCAGGGCGAGATATGTTTCAGCAGGTAAAGGTTCCACCATGCCTGACAGCCTGGGCCCCACATAGTGAGAGGAGAGAACCACAAGTTGTGCTCTGACCTCTACATGTGTGACATGGCACTTGTCCCCACCACAAAATAAATAAAATGTGAAAAAAAGCCCCAAACCCCAAAACAAATACAACACATTCATCATGTGGGAAGCGAGCACGGCCGAGCCAGCCAATGATGGCGCCCTGGCTGGCTGCCAAGCCTCGTGCTGTTTACTTCAACTCTTGGCTGATTGCCAAGGCTCGTGCCCCTTGCTTGTTTACTCCAACTCCAAGCATGGTGAGCCCGAACAGGTGCTGCCCGCCTGATGATCTTGCTACGTGGCCAATGAGCTGCACTCTGCCTGCCCGCTGCACGTGTGTGTGCCGTGATTGGTCCTGGCTGGGGGGAGGGCTGTTGGAAACGCTATATGAAGAGCTGGAGTATTAGACATAGGGACAGACGCAGACACAGACAGACGCACACAGACACAAGAGACACAAGAGGAACGAGAAGCAGCAGCATCATAGTGGGTGAGATAATGAAGAGAATATGAGGGAGAATAAGAGAGAATAAAGGAAGGAAGAGAAACAGAAGCTTGAACCTCACCTTGGTGTTTGTGTCGTCTTTCCTGGACTCTGCTGGACAGAGTCCCGGCTCACGACACATCAGACAACTTTAAACCTGTCCCCATCCCCAGTGGAGTTTGTTGTTTTTGTTTCAATTTCTGGTATCTTGTGAATGGCATAGTCACACTGCCATGGGGCTGTGAAATGCGTTACTCTGTTCAAAGTAAACATTTAAAACATACAACTCATGCTTTCTTTTTTCCTTTGTAACATTCTGGGAGCTTGAAGAAAGGGAAGGACTGTGCCTGGGTAGAGCAGGTTCTATAAGACTGCACAGCTCTAGCCCCACCTGCAGGGGGTGCCATACCCCAGGCCAATTGCCCAGGGCAGCAATGCCTGAGCCTGACAGCCAAGCCCTGTTGTGACTGGACACAGAAAGGAGGTGGCCTCTCTGCTGACCATTCTAGACTCAGAGGAGTAATTGGAGGACCCTGGGAGACAGAAGCAAGGGGCTCTCCCATGCAAAGACCTCATCTTCTACAGAACCTTCTAAAACAAAAGTTATAGAGGGGCAGGTGGGTAGAGCAAGCAGGGTCCTGATGCTGGGAACGCAGAGGAACCAGAAGATGGAGGTGTTCCTTACAGCTTCCAACCAGTCACCCCCGCAAATCTTCCAGAATGAATGCATCGTCCTCTATGGTTCCCTTCCTAGTGGGGCCAGTTTCAGGCTCAAAGACCTGCGAACCCCTCAAACTGACATTTATCTTGTTCTCTGAGCCCCTGGGAGTCTATACAATCTGTGGCCACCCACGGGTTGTTCTGTTCCACCGTTCCTAATCTAGTCATCATTCTTTCTGTTGGAAGATGAGAAGAGAGGTTTAGAGGATGTGAAAAGACCACACACCTCTTATGCTGGTCTGCCAGCCTTTGAACTGGTACTGCTTCCTCTGCCTAAGGTCACCTGAGCATGGAGGGTGGGCTTTGTGGCAATGAGGAAGATGGGAAGAAAAAAAACACCAGAAGAAATGACCCACAGGTGTTCGTGCAGTTAGTAGAAATCTAGGAGCTAGTCAATGACTTTCCTGGGGCTTCTGTTTCCCCAGTGGTACCCAAGGGAGCTGGAATGGACAGGCTGGCATGACTGCTCTGTGCGATTCCAGCACCTGATTCTCCCTGCCCAGTGCATGGAGAGTACATGGCAAGGCTGGTGGCAGATCCTGAGCAGGAGGCTAGGGGCTGCTCCAACCTGGGGAGTGGGGACTAGGCCCTTGCCCAGTTCAGTCTATGGATGCAGACAGGGGAGCACTGCATCCCTTACAACCCCCAGCCCTCTCACTGCTGGAGTTTCAGGACAGACAAGCCCACAGTCAAATGCTATGGGGAGATCAAAGGAGAGGGAGGGATGTTGCTTCCATGGCTTGGGGTCATGGCTTTGGCTG